CTACTTCAAAAACGCAGGCCCCACAGCGCACGGCCCTCCCTTAATAACCCCCCGTATAACACTCCCCTATGTCATCCCTTTTAAGGAGTTTAGGCCTTTGTTCATGTACGGCTTTGAATTAAGGGGTGCAGGCTGCCGTTGTGCCCCTTTGCAAGGTTTATGGGACATATAGGTATGGGCTTGGGGTTTGGCTTGGAAGATGGAAGAGAATATGGACACTCAGGGCTTGTAGCAACATGTGGACCCTTGAACCCTAAACCTTTGGGCGCAGGCTGGAGGCATGAAGTGTTACAAGGGAGAATTTAGTGGACTAGAAAGTGGAACATGGAATTGAAACTGAGAATATATGTTGCATGCTACAGGTTAGGGTTTCCCCAAAAATAGAGGTCCGTCTAGAGGGTTTATTGGGAATATGATGCCCCAAACCCGAAACCCCAAAAACCTTAACCCTAAACCCTAAAAGCCCTAAACCCTAAAAACCCTAAACCCTAAACCCTAAAAATCCTAAACCCTATGTAGGGATATTACAAAGGGGCTCCTGGGCCTCACATTTTTTTATATAGGGAACGAGAACTTACTGACGAAGGGCGCAAGGCTCAGCTTGGAGTTTTAGGGTTTATAGTCCCCATTAAGGTAGGTAGGGGTTAGGGTTTAGGGGGTATAGCCCCCCTTAAGTAGATGAAATATGGGGTATATGGAAATCATATTACTTATAGTATACCTAAAGCCATATTCTATCTACTTAAGGGGGACTGTAGTGTTTCATGATTTAGCGGCTTAGGCTTTAGGACTTGGGGCTGAGGGTGTAAGGCGTAGGGCTTCTAGTCAACTACTTGTAAGTAAGCACTGCTGGGAAACATGTTGACAAATTATCCGTGACCTTGGTGGCCTGTTGGAGGGCCCTTATTGGGCCCCAGTCTCCCTTCCTCCCCCCCTCCCCATTCCCTGGCCGCCTCCCTTTCTCTGTGGGCTCAATTTTGAAGACCTGCAGTTTCCATTTTCTTTTCCATTAATATTCCCCAATATAACCCTCATAATCCCTATAGTTTCCATTTTCTTTTCCATTATCCCAATATCACTCCAGTATATCCCCTGTATAAAAGGCGGCCACCGACAATAGGGCTGGAGTCTTTGCACGGCGGATGGCGGGCTCGGTGCGCCTTGCAAGTTCAAGCTTCTGAACCTTCCATGATTAGCCCTCAATCCCCAAAAGCTAGCCCTACGCTTCAACTGTGCCCTAGACCGCCCTAGCCCACAAACCCTGAAACCTAGACCATGTGGTTTGCGGTTCAGGGTTAATAGGAGCCAATAACTCCCCACTCGAAATCTTAATCCCGAAACTCACATCCCACGAGCCTTCTTCCAGAGCCTTCCACGCCGCGTCCTGGTACGGATGATTGCCTGCACGGTCTAAGTTCGTAAGTACTGCCCCCGCGCATGGCTACAGGTTCAGGCTTAGGGTTAAGATGGTCATTAGGGTTTAGGGTTATAGGGCATTATAGGGTTGAGGTAAGTTTGGAGTCATAGTAAGGAATTAGACAAACTTGGAATTGAATGCGGAGTTGAGGGTTCATGGTGTAATTAGTATATAATGCCCTGTCATGCGATCCGTGTATACCAATCATATGCCCGAGAAAAAACCTACGTGTCCCTGTGCCCTAAACCCTACATACTTCCCATCCCCTAAACTCTAAACAACCCCAAACCCTAAACCCTTATGGTTTATGAGTTTAAGGTTCAAGGTTTGGGGTCCAGGGTTTGGGGCTCAGGTTTCAGGGGAAGTTGAGCAACACATCTATAGAACTCGTGGTTGAGGATGATTTTAAAGTTTGAAGCTTGAGGTCAGGATGTAGCGGTTGAAAGCTTGGGTTTGGGGATTTGGTAGTTTGGGATGTGTGGTTGAGGGGGCAAAGAAGGATTTAGGGCGTGATGTTAGGATGTTTGCTGTGGCTAAAACCAACACCCAACTCATACTGGAGATTACGGTGTGCGAGCGGTAGCTGCATGGCTTCGTAACCCATCGGCACACTAGACGTCCAAGTAAGTGTCCATTACACACTCGGGTTTAGCATGCATGCTCAATCTTAAAGCCTCATCCCTACACCCTGCATAGTGTAGGGGCGAATGAGACAGATCGTGCTAGGGATCATGGAAATAAAGGCTGCGGCCATAATCGCACACAAAACCTGCACCAAAGCTTCCAACAAAATGCAAATTGGAGTTTTGAAAAGACAGATGCCCTCGGAAGCTCTGGATACAGGACAGTCATAGCGAAAGTACAGGCATACACCTTTCATACAACCCTTATATAACCCCTATGTAGCCCTATATCACCCTGTATAACCCTATATAACCCCTATATACCCCTATATAACCGCATATATATATATATACATATACCGAAGGAATATGTTGAAAGGCAGGAAGATAGAATGTTCTCACGGCCGCCTGCTTCGTGGACACTATCGGAAGCTTGTTGCAACACAGGCGTTTAGGGTCTGGGGCTTAGGTTTTAGGGGTTTAGGGCTTAGGGTTGAGGGCCTAGGGTTTAGGAGCTTAGGGATCAGGATGCATCTACAAGGTCTAGGATTCATGGACCCAAGAATTAGTGGCCACAGCTCCCTGCGCAGGTCCTTGCGGTTGTGGACAGTGGTCGAAGAGCCAGGGCCCAAACTATTTCGCACATGTAGCTAGGTTGGCCCCTAAAACCCTTCGAAAAATGTTAGTATATAGGGTCCCCTATTAAAGCCATTGGGGACAATACTAAATATTTCAGGGGCCTACCCAGTAGAGGCTCTCATTCGAGCATATTCCCACGTGAACGCTTCTTAAAACCAGGACGCCCTTGTAGGAAACCCTCCCCTCAAACCCCTGAACCGAATCCATATAGAAGTCGCCTAAATCTAAGTCGTCCTTTTTTGGTAGTTGAACAAAGGAAGGCTATGCCCACATGATTCTTATCAACTACAACACACCAAAAGACAATATGATCTTACGCTGTGTTGACGACGTCACTACCCCCCTAAACCCGAAACCCTAAACCCCGAACCTCTAAACAGGTACTACGCGCTAGTCATCTGCAGGTCAAATGAAGGGACCGTTGCCATCAGCCTGTCCGAAACTTGTCAGGCACGGTCGGATCTACGAACCTAAGATGAATCACACGGCTTGGGGTTTAGGGCTTACCACTCAAGGTTTACCTGGATCTCCCGAGTATTTGAAAGAATTAAGGGCCTTTCTGACTATCTTTTGGGGTGTTGGGCCATCATTGTACCTGTATTTGAGGTCCAGGCGGGGGTTCCTACCCAACCCTAAACCCTAAACCACCTCGCTTAGGGTTTAGAGTTTGACTTGCAATAGTGCCGAAGGCGTTCAATCTACATGCTACCGGGGCAAGTGACATCTAAGTTTCTCAACATGTTCATATACTCTTCCTCAACCTAAGTTGGAAGCCCGTGTCCACATCGGCCCGTTTTAAACGGACAGTTGTGACAGCAGTTAGTCTTGCAGAGCCTTTTTGGGCGGGTTGAGTGCTATTTTGGTGAGGGAACTCACTCAAATGGAGGCAACCCCTTCCAATCCCTGCATAGCTGGATCTCCAATGCTACTGCTAATTAATGCTGAGAAGCTCCCAACTTGTTGTAAACATCAGGCTCCCGCCCGTGATCTACTTCGGCCAGCGGACATGTGGCTTCAAAAGTAAGGCTGCTGTCAAGGAACTGAGATTCCAGTACCAAGGGTTTAAGCTGTATAAGGGATAATAAGGATGATATTAGGGTCCTATTATATTCCTATTCTGGGTTGGCCCCCCAAACCTTTTGACAAATATTAATATATAGGGTCCCTTACTAAAGCCATTAGGGAACATATTAAATGTCCCAGGGGCCTACCCAGTAAACCACTCTTACAGGGTAGGGGGTCCACCCACTCCATACTCTACAGCTTTGCCAGGACCTGGAAAGTAGGCAAGCTTTTGGCCCAGAACCCCTTAAAACAGCCCGCTAACCCTAGGGTTTAGGGTTCAGTCTTTAGGGTTTAGGGTTTGGGGTTTAGGGTTTAGGGTTTGGGGTTTGGGGTTTAAGGTTTGGGGTTTAGGGTTTGGGGTTTAGGGTTCGCGGTAGAATCTGAACCCTCCACGAAATTCCATCGAGGCTCACCAGTATCACCGGCCGACTCTTGGTACGGAAGAGTGCCTGCTCCAACACATAGGGCCTCAATGTCACAAGCTAGCTTCGTAGGGCCTATGACTTGGGTACCTCCCCCACCCTCTAAACTAAAAGTACTGGGGGCTTTACATATCCACATTCCATATCTTTCTTAGCTGTTACTGAGTGGGAGGCAGAGGCAGTATCTATCTTATGCCGTCGCAGGAGGAAAATTCTATGAAGTTTTGAAAATGTGCAGCGCATGCGGAGCCGGATGATGGGGGATGTGGCCGGCCACAAGTAGATTTCATAGAACGTAGCCTGAAAACTTAGACTCTTCGTGCACGATTCCTTAAGCTCGTAAACCTCGATAGTCCCCTTGGGTAGATAGGATATGGGGTATATGTGGATCTTATTATGGTTTTGCCGTACTCTTTCTACTCCAGGGGACTATAACCTCATAGTGATACAGACTCCCAGAATGCCAACATAATTCCTGCTACCTCCTGCTTGATGGCATTGCAGCACGTGTCCGCTCCAGGTCGTACAATAGAATAACTTACTGGGGAGGGGGGTAGGGTTTAGGGTTTAGGGTTTATAAAGGGTTTAGGGTTATAGAGAATTAGAGGATATACCTTACCCGTACCCTAAGAGTCCAAGTACCTAATAATCATATACTTACCCAAAACCTGTACTATAAGTACTATTGCCAAAACCCTAAGTACCTAATTATTGGATACATGGACCCTTAAGGTTCTACCCTTCTAGCCACCAGTAAGATAAGGACCAGAAGGGAGGGTTGTAGGTATCCACTTTCCGACTCCTTGATACACACTATCGATCCTGGGTTGGCCCCTAAAGCCCCTTGAAAAACATTAATATATAGGGTCCCTAATTAAAGCCATTAGGGAAAAGATTAAATATCCCAGGGGCCTACCCAGTGATCCTAAAGCCTAAAATCATCCTTAGGGCATCTCGTGTGCTTGCATGTAGGGGAAACTTTGCATGTTGAACACATCTTCATGGGCCGTTCCTTTCGGACACTGGCCTCTTCACCCGAAGCCCTACACTGTAAGCCCTAAACCCTAGACTTTGTTGTGTTACTAGAACCCTTGTAGGATTCTGCTCCGCATGCTCTTCTTGTAGCCGCTAGACAGACTCAGTCTCGGAAATGCCCTGAGCCTTGCACATTTAATCGTAAACCCTAAATCCCGACTACTGAGCCCCAACCCCGAACCCTAGACCGTGAAGCCTAAACCCTAAACCCCCCACTCAAAATCCTGCAGCCTTAACGCCAAACCCTCACTTACCCTGCTGGTGGTTAGTAGGGAACAAGGGGACATAATCACCGTAGAACCCAAATATACTAGATGCCTTTATTCCCTACTAACCCCCAGTAACTGCTCCTGTACTACCCCCAGAAACCATGCTTCCATGAAATTCTCCATTTGCTTTTGGGTTTGCTTCTGCATGATAGCTGGTAGTATATTACCCCTTGACCGTAAGCCCAAAACATCAAGCTCTCTCTCTCTCTCTCTATAAACCCTAAAACCTAAACCCTAAACCCTAAACTCCCTAAACCCTAAACCTATATGTATGTCCGTATTCCCTACTAACCCCCCAGTAAGTCACAAGCAGGCAAGCCGCATCTGCCCGATGTTGGGCATGTCCTTAGCTCCGTGGCCGGCCAGAACGCATGAAAATTACCCGGTCCTTCAGGTTGGGGCCTGGGGTTAAGGGCTTAGGGCTTTGGATTCAGAGTTTAGGGGTTGTAGGGTTTAGAGTTTAGGGGCTTAAGTTTAGGGTTTAGGCTTCAGGGAAAACTGCACGACTTAGGGTTTCTCACAGTTCGTGAAGCAAACTTTGTGCTGGGTCTTAGTACGGTAGCGCGAAAAATAATCAAGGACCCCCTTTGGTGTCCCCCTAAACCCTGAAATCTGAGCCCTAAACCCTGAAGCCTAAGCCCTAAACCCTGAACCCTAGACCCTAAACCCTGAAGGTACCGCCTCCCCACAGGCTCAGATATGGCTCCTACAAGGGTAATGGGGCTATATCAGGTAACTGTACGCTTCCTTTAAATGTAAGCCCCCTAGACCTATAAAAATGTGACTTTGAAAAACAAACCCTAAACCCACTTGATAACTACACACATAGAGTTGCCTTGAGTAAGCAGAGCTACAAAACTAACAGCGAGAGGGTTATGGTCAATCATTGTGAACAGTCACGATACCAACAGTACGAGAATTTTGAGGGTCAAATGTCCACACACCCTAAACCCTTACATGAAAGGCCAGAACAAGTCTCCAAATCCTAAGTCTTCAAGTAACTTCGGGAAATGCTCCGCCATGTACTAAGCAAGTGCCACGTTGGCGACTACACTGAGACTGTTCTACCTTCCAGCACTTCGTGAAAAAATAAAAAAAGGAAAACAAATTGCCCCAAATGGACCCGTGTTGCAAACCAACCTTTAGGGGGTTATATAGGGGTTATATAGGGGTTCTATGGGGACTATATAATTAGGGGCTATATGGGGTTATATGGGGATAATATATAGGGGTTTTATAGGGATAACGGAAAAGAAAGTGGAAACCACTGTGTAAGCAACCTTGAAGGTTTAGCCGCTCAATTTTGACATACCCCATAATGTTGCGAACTGAAGGGGGAGTCGGGAAGGAATGTAATGTACTATTGTCGGGTGCTGAAGGGCGTGCTATGAGGCTCCACGCCCCCACTCGCCATCAGACACCAGGCATTCTAATCCCAAGCCCTACACCCTAAACTGTATCGCAAATCCTTACACCAAAGCCCATACCTGAAGGCCTACAAGATCCCAAGTACATTCTACGTATAGTCCACCTCAAGTGGATAGAATATGGGAGTTATATTGGGATGATGGAAAAGAAAGTGGAAACTACCTGGACCCCTAAGTATGCAACATAATGGCCTCTTTGGCTGTTATTATGGGTTTAGGGCTATTATTTTACATACTTTTGGGGTTTAGGTACTATTTAGGGTTTAGGGGTTAGGAACCCGGGAAACCTTGCTATATGCCTAGACAGCCCCCAAGCTCCTTCTCTACAAGCCCCAAGTGCTTCTCCACCAGCACCCCGAAACCTCTAAACCCTATGGACAAGTAGATAAATAGATCGATCGATAGACTAATGAAGATAGGTGGACAGATAGGTCACAATGGAAATGTGATGTAAATATCTTATCTGTATGTGTATACACACACACATCTATATATATATATATGAGATAGTTTCCATGAAGAGGGGGACCCCAGACCCCGAAAGGCTCTAATCCTCCTTATAAGTCCCCCCCATTACCCTCCCAAAAGGTACCCTTAAGTATGGGAAAAACCCGCCATACACTAAACCCTAAAATTTATAAACCCTACACATATTGGGCCGCACGTGATTCATGACTTACTGGTGCTTAAGTTCGAATGCAGGAATGGCTCCTGCGTAGCCTAGGGATTAACGTTTCGGCTATTGTGTTGAAGGTACGGAGATATTTGGGGTTAATTATATGAGCTATAGCCTAAACTACTAGTACAGCCTTGATAACCCCGATAATAGTCCCCTATAGAAGCCCCTATGCTCCCTATATAACCCCTTTAAGGAGTTTAGATGAGGGCTCATATAAGAGTACATCTGGGTACATAAACGAATGTTCAGGGTTCTATCATGAAAGCCTATGTTCACTCCCGGAACCCAAACATCTCAACCCCCAAAACCCTGAATCCTGAGTCCTCCGTATCCCCACCCAGCAATGGGTACCACAAGGTACCATTGTAGGTATATTAAGGCCCTATTAACTCCATATCAAGGAGCCATTACTACAGCGGGGATTGACCTAAGTCCTCCCCCGCTCCCTCTAAACCCGAAAGACTCCCCCGCTCACCCCAAATCCTTAGCCTGAGACCCTTACCTGAGCCTAACACTCACAAGACCCTAAAACTCTGAAACCTGAACTCTAAAACCCTAAAACCCTGAACCCTATCCTCAACCCCAGATCATCAAATCAGATGTGGTAGTTTCCCTAAATGGGGGGACCCGCATTATAGCCACCAAAATACAAGTATCCTCATTGTGGGACCGCCAAAACGCTACCCCTAAGTTTGGGAAACCCCTAAACCCTACACCCCATATAACCCCCTATAGAACCATGTGAGCTATAGTCTAAACTCCTAGTATCCCCCTAAATATCCCCTATAGTACTCCCCTATATAATCCCCTATATAACCCCCTTTAAGGAGTTTAGGCTATGGCTCCTCTAACCCCCTACAGAACCATGTGAGCTCTAGTCTAAACTCCTAGTATCCCCCTTAATAACCCTACAGTAGTCCCATATAGAATCCCCTATATAACCCCCTTTAAGGAGTTTAGACTACAGCTCATGTTGAGTCTGGCATCGATCATGAGCCAGCAGTTGGTCGCCGCGCAAGCCTCCAGTTCTCCATGGCTCAGCAAAATGGAAACTTTCGGGTTTAGGCCTTAGGGCCTAAAGGGTTTAGGGTTTGGGGTTTAGGGTTTAGGGGCCTTAGGGTTTCTGGGGAGGGTTTTGGGGTTAGGGTTTTAAGTGGTTAAGGCTTTGGGGTTTGGGGCTTATTGTAGAAACCAAAAAAGGTTTTCAATACTATGTTCCGTCCCGGGCTCCTTGCATAATTGTAATGTAAGCTACCTCAAACCGATCTCAAGGGATGTTGGTAATCATTTAGGTCCGTGTACGAGAGGGGGTGAGGGAAGATTTTGGGGTTGGGATTCAGGGTCCAGGGGTTTAGGGCTCAAGGCTTAAGGGCCTGGAGGATAGGGGGTTCTGGGTTTGAGGGTTTTCGGTGACTTGACTGAACCTGCACCGTAAAACCCATACCTAAGCACCCTAGATGCTCAACGCAACAAATCTTACAACCCAGGAGCCTCCACGACTGCGACCATGGCTTCCACCAGTCCTTGTGTTGTGGGTTCAGAATTTAAAAGATCAGGGCTTTTTCGCTTAAGGTTTAGGGCTATAACATCATCAACAGAAATAGCTATATGAGCAATACTCTAAAATCAAAGGGGGTTATACTCGGGATCACACAGGGGAGTACTATAGGGGCCATTAAGGGCGATACTAGGAGTTTTGACTGTATATCGTATGGGGATTTCCATGAAATAGAGAGGGGATAAGCGGAAACCCTAAAGCCTAAAGCCTAAACCCTAAAGCCTAAACCCTAAACCATCCTTAGGATGTCCTTAATCCCCATTATTCCCCAATATTCCCTAAGCTTTCCTCAGGCTCCCCAACGCTCCCTTGTACCCTTTTCCCTTGAATCACCCGCCCTTAAGGATCCTATAGCACCCTAAGTCCTAAACCCTAAACCCTGTTTAGTGGTGGAAGAGCGTCAGGATGCGGAGGGTTCCCCTGAACCCTGGACCTAAATGGGGTTTCCTACTAAAATCAGGGGTATTACAGGGGGATATAGGAGTACTATAGAAGGATAACTAGGGTTTAGGGTTTGAGGTTCTACTAGGTTTAGGGTTTCCTAAAATGAGGGACACCTTTTGCGGGGGTCCCCAGAATAAGGATTATAGTATATTGGGGTCTTTTGGGAAACCTACCAAATAATCCCTCCATACTAGAATTCGACACCCTCACCACAAATACTCAATATTCCTCAAAAATTACCTTATATAGTGGGGGACCTGTTGTGTATACAAATGAAGGGCTTATGTAGGAACAAGAAAGGCGATTATAATCCTCCTTACCCTCCTCTGAACTATATGATATGGAACCGCAAGTGGGATGCAACAAATTGGGGCATATGGTGTTGGACGTTACTTTGGGGCAGGGTGCTACTTGCAGGTTCGCTGGCATTTCATAATTACACTCACAAGCCCAGAAAAGCACACTAAGTAATTCCTACCATTTCGATCTACTCACAAAGTTCCGCACAACAACCTACACAGCTTATAGAGTCTTTTAAGCAATAGCTGTGGAATCCTTACCGGGGGATTGCCCTGAGCACTCTGTTACCCCCATATGGAGGTTTCCGAAGTATTATCGTTTAGGGTCTAGGGTTTCCGGTATGTTTGGGAGAGATGTTATGTCAGAATCATGGCATTTTGGGATCAACTTTGGGGCCCCTACGTATTGAAACTGCCATGTGCCCCTTGAGTCCCTCCTTTGAGAAAACACCAACCCTAAGGGTCCAAGGACCCACATATGAAGGCTTTAGGAGTCCTTGGACCCTTAACCCTAAACCCTAAACACTATACATCCGCCTTATACCCCCTTAAAGGGACCCTACTATTTGAGTCCTTGGACCCTCAGGGCAAGAGCAAATCAACATGAACCGAGCGTCGATCGTAGAGGCTATTCCCCACCATCCTTGTTCACTAAAGCGGACCCGGACCCTCCCCCCAGGTACCGTTAAACTGGATTTATGTAATTCGTATGTGTGGGAATTTGGGCTATGTATAGGGTGTTTAGGGGGTGTCTAGGTATTCTGGGGCTTTCGGTAGGGATCGCAGCTCAAACAGTCGTTGTATCTGATTCTAGCATGACATGCTATCACGTGCTACGCTATGCAACGCTGCATTACGACCCTAGACCCAAAACCCTAATTAAACCCTAAACCCGAACTAAACCCTAAACCCTAAACCCTAATTAAACCCTAAACCCGAACTAAACCCTAAACCCTAATTAAACCCTAAACCGAACTAAACCCTAAACCCTAAACCCGAATTAAAGCCTAACATGCTCTGACAGCTCCATTTTTTTTTCAATTTCTGGGCGCTACTTTGACTGTTGACTCCTTTTCGAGTCAGCTTGTGGGTCATTCTTTTAATGGGCTCATTTAAGGACCTTCGGGCTCAGGGTTTACCTAGACCCTCCAATGTAGTTCCTTTTTGGGTTTGGTATGGTTTTTGGGGTAGGACTCTTTTTAGGACTACCAAAAAGGTACTACATTGGAGGGTCTAGGTAGGGTTTAGGTTCACAGGTATGAAAGGGGTTGCGGATTTTTGGGGAGTTGCTCAAAACAACCCGTAAATATAATCTGATCAAGGGAGACCACCCTAAATCCTACCAGGGAGGATGCATTAAGGCGTCCTAAACTAAAACGAAACCCAAAAACTCCAACAGCTGAACCCTAAACCCACACGCTGAACCCTGGACCCTCAAAATCCCGAAACCTGAACCCTAAACCCTGGACCCTAATAATCCCCAATCTGTAAATCCGATGAACTCCAAAACCCACACCCTAAAGCTTCTTCCCCAAACCCTGCATACTCTCTAGCATTTAGGGTTTTAGGGTTTAGGCCTTAGGGTTATAGGCTATAGGGCTCGTATGTACCCGTATCTACAGCCAATATGATTCCACTGTGAAGTCCCATGCCTGGAGACCTCCTTCCCTACAGCCCAAACGGGATTCAGGGTTGAGGGTTTAGGGTTTAGGATTGAGAGTTTAGAGTTTAGGATTGAGGGTTTAGGGTTTAGGATTGAGGGTTTAGGGCTTGGGCCTTCTGAGGGACTACTTTAGGGACTATACTAACCTGCAAGAGGGACCCCTATGTTAAGGCTACTATGAACAGTAGCTGATATACCGCTATAGGCCCTACTGGAAGCTGCTATTCGAGGACACTTGTTCCAGAAGTCCAAAAACCTCAAACCCTAAACCCTGAACCCCAAACCCTAAAGCCTGGACCTTGAACCCAAACCCGTGACCCTGGACCCTTAAGCGGCTGCCGGTCCTCTGCAACTGCTCCATGTCAACCTCGCCGTCTGGCAATCCTTCGGTCAAATCATGTGGATTTAGCGCTTAAGCTGCCACCGGTTTCGGTTATAAGTTCAGGGATCATGCAGGGATTAGGGTTTAGAGATCGAGGTTCAGGGTTTAGGGATTCGGCTTTCGGGTGTAGAGTTCTGGGGTTCAGGCATGGAGTTTCTGGGCTTCAAGGGAAGGTATATAAGGATATATATATATATATTTATATTATAGAGAGAGACAGAGAGAGAGAGAGAGAGAGAGAGGGTGAGTTTAGAGATTGGGGTGTGAGGTTTAATGTCTACGGGTCTGCTTTATTAGTACAAGAGTGGAAAATCAATGGCACAGGAAACAAGAAAATACAACGGAACTGGGGTGCATAGATGCACAAATAAACGACAACATACCAATGAATCATACATTGATGAAATCAAAGCCATGGATTTACGTAACAATAACATACAGTAATAATGAGACGGAAGCTGGGTTCATATACAGGCGCTGGCCTTTCGGTTTGGGGTTGCGGCTTAGGGTCTGGGATTGATGCTTTAGAGATCTCGGGGATAGGTTGGGGCAATCCCGGCCCAGCAATGGGTACCACAAGGTACTATTGTNNATTAAGGCCCTATTAACTCCATATGAAGGAGCTATTACTATAGGGGGGATTGACCCAAGGTTTAGGGTCTAAGCTTTGCGGTTAGTGTTTGGGAGTGAGCTTGGTGTCTGTTGGCTACTGCTCCCACCCTGTCAAACTCATATGCGGTACCTTGCCTGGGTATAAATTTCATTTACTACAACGGTGCGGGACTGCTTCAAAGCGTAAGGGGCCAGCATTCAAGGTATCTGTCCAACGAGGATTATGAAAGGGAGCACGAGAACACGAGGAACATGGGCATGTGATGTTGGTACCCTAAACCTCCTAAACCCTAGATGCTAAGCCTTTGCCGTCCTTACCTGTCGCAATTTACTTCCTGTAACCTCAACACAGAAACCCTCCAGCCTAAACCCAGGACAGTTGCAGCACAGGAACTGGTTCCAACCCCATGATGAGATCTTAGAGGTTTCAATCCCTAAGCGCCTGACCCCAAACCCTGCTGCACCAAGCTCCTGATTGCAGCTGCAGTACCTGAGAAGGTGAGACGGCCAGTTGGTGCCCAGCAAGTGATGATGGAAGGGATCTCTCCAGTGGTCCCGAAACCCCAAACTATGAGAAACAGAGGATCTTGGCAACCTCAAGCTGTATAACAAAGAACCTATAAGAGTCATATGATACTCATGGGGCCCTGATTTTGGCGGCTGTTGCGGTCCAAACTCCCTTCTATACATGTATATATGGTCTGTGATATACGCTTCACTGTATCCACTTCCCCATTCCCCACTAAGCACTGGGGACTTGGAAGTTGAGCAGGGGAGTTGGCTTGCCATGCACGAGGTTTAGGGCTTTGTGTTTGAGGTTGTAAGGCTCCAAATTTCCGGAGCATGGCTTGAACGCAGACACTGTGTTTCACAGGGGTGTGGGGGGTAAGTAGGATCTGGGACGCTCCCTGCACAAAGAAGGCGAAATGAGGCCTAAGTACATAGGAGATTTGAGCCAGATCCCACCTTTTTCTAGAGACCCTTGAATTTTTTGATGATCTCGGCCCGTCTCTCGTGTCCACGAGGATACTTTGATCTGAGAAGCCCGTACCGTACATGGAACCCCAAGCAAAAGCCCACAAAGGCATCATGTCCTTAGGTGGGCCCCCATGTGCAAAACTTAAACTGGGTCCTCGTGTGTCCCTATTATACCACGATTACAGGGTGGGGGATCCACCCAAGACAAACCTAAGGTTTCCGGCGCGCCGCGCCCTCCAACCATTGGTTCTTGAAAAGCAAAATTGGTGCGCCTGTAGTGGTCTGTTTGTGGTACCCTGCTGGGGTTTAGGGTTCATAGTTATGTTTGTGAGATTTTGCTTCTGCATGGCATGTCCTAAATATGCGGGGTCATGAGGCGCCATGGGATTCAGATTCACAACCTCAGACGGAATCAGAATGTAGAAGTCACATTTTTTGACAGACAGGATCGGATTCGCTGTAGGCCCTGAAGCATGATAAACGTGAAGGCAGGGAAATCTGCTAAATCTGCAAGCACGAGGCCCTAAACCCTGCACGCTGAAGCCTAGATCCTGAGCCCTAGAGCTGAAGGCTTGAATCCCGCAAGCCCCAAACAAAAACCCTAAGCCCAGACCCTTGACCTTGAGGCCTGAACCTATCAAAATCCTAAATCACACATCCTAAAACCTGACCGTATCAAGGGTTCCCCTACTATGGTTCTTCCTTGATCAAGCTCATTTAGGGAAAGCTAGGGCTAATAAGGTAGAATCTGGGGAGGGTAGTATACGGGGGTTGTAGGGGAACCCATCCCCAAACCCTACACCCACCGTAAACCCTGAATCCTAAACCCCACACCCCACACCCTAAACCCTACAGCCTACAGCCCAAACCCCACACACTACACACCACACCCTAAGGCCCCAAACCCTAAATCATATACCTTACACCCTAAGCCCTAAACCCCACACCCTGAACCCTACACCCTAAACCCCACACCCTACAGACTAAACCCTACACCCCAAACCATGTACCCCACACCCAAACGTTGGTGTAGTCCAGCTAACCTTCTGCCCTGGTAATCCTTAAACATCAAAAACCCGTAGCCCATCAAGCCTGTATCACCATCTATATGCGTATATATCTCTATCGGTATACATATATATATATATATATTTGATTATATAC